AATGGAAATGGCCATCGGTCTCCGCAACTCGCCCACTCCATTCGTGTCTAAGATAAACCCTAACACTAAGAGGAGCTCTGGTTCCTCCTCTCTTTCGATGCTAAATAACCGATTCTTTCAACCCATCTTATCTTGTTCATCTTTAATATACAAGACACCATTGAAATCCCATTCCAGGAACTCAATCAAATTTAGGGTTTCAGATGCAATGAATCAGCAGCAAGCAGTGGTGGATTCTGTCAAGGGTCTCAACGAATCAGCAACAAACAATGGATTAGAAGTTGTAAAATTGAAAGGAACGATGGCAGCAGCAGCATCATCATCATCATCATCATCATCTACAAATCTTCATTTTTATCTTATTTCTGAGGACATTGATGACAACGCGTATCGATTGTATCTGTTTTCTCTTTACCAGCCTTCTATTGATGATGAGAACATTTCAACCCCCGTACTGTCTCCTGTGTTCGAATTCACAGAAAATTATAATATGCGCGCAGGAATGGGGTTTTTCTCAGTAGGATCTAAAATATTCATGTTTGGAGGGAGGGACACCTCTGGGGACGACCCATTTAAGGACAAAAGATGCAGGAATGTGTTTGTGTACGATACTATCACTGGTGATATCACAAGTTGTGCACCGATGAAAAAGGGTAAATACAGTCCGATGATTATCGGACCTACCTATGATGGAAAATTTTATGTTATATATAAGAGTGTTGGCTTCGGAATCGAGTCATACGACCCAGTGACTGATGAATGGCGTGATATTTCGCCGCCAGATGTTGTTTCATTCAACGATATGAGTTGCGATGCTTTGCATGTAACTTGCAGTGCCATGGTCAACAACAACACCATCTTCATCATGACGGACAAAGCAGACTTGTTTTCCTGTGATTTGAGGACATCTACTTATTGGGAATGGCACGGTTATACAGAAATGCTTCCTACTCAATCTGGTAGGCCTTTCGATATTGGTGGGGATGTACTGGCCGGTGATTACTTGTTTGCATTAGATCAAGAACTCGACCTCTATGCTTTCCATTTCGATCCACTGGAATACCGAAGGACCGGAGAACCAAGCACTGTAAGCATTGTTGAGAACCTGCCATCAGTGGATGTCGACGAGGATGGTTCACCCCCAAGCTTTGTCTCTCATATAGGTGACATGCGCTTTTGTGTTCTGCGGACCAATTATGAAACTGACATGGAAACTGATACGGATCGTACTCGTGTTACCGTGGATGTTTTCCGGGCTGAACAGCTGGCAAACAGTGCCGGCCATTTTTCTGCTGTTGATTTGCATAACAAATCCTTCATCTTAGATGATGGCAGATGCAATCAGATTATTCGCGCATTCTTGCCCATGTACTAAAGCAGTGGCTTCACTTCCTCGGTTTCATTCCTCTCGTGTCCATGGAATTTAATATGGTAAGTAGTAATTTAAATGTTTATTTTTTCTTTTTCTTTTCTTTCTTAATGGTTTAGCTATGATATGTTAACAATCATCTATGAAAGAGTTGTCACATGTTTGTATTCATTTTTGTACAATCTACAATTCCTTTCATGCCCGATCACATTAACTGTAGTAGCAAATGTGTAATATCCCACATTTTATTGCTTTTTAAATTGCTATTATGGATTTATTAATATTTATTTAATTTTAGCTTAGTGAGCAAATTGTCTTTTTATTTTATTTTGTTTTAATTAAGCATTTGTAATTATGCTTAGTGAGCTAAAAGGTTTTTAGAATATAATTTCTTTTATTTATTTTTATATGGTGTGCATTATTGCCTTCTCATTAGATATAAGTGTGCAAGTTAAGACTAAGGAAAGAAAGGGAGGGCTAGAGAGAGAGTGTGGGCCAAGAAATTAGTCGCAGAGAGTGATCAAAGAATAAGAAAAGAGGAGAAAACTTGTGCTCAATTTGAGGTAGGGTTTGCTCTAACTTATTTTGCTATGATAATGTTGTATCTAAAATCCTTTTTGTGGCCATGGATATCATTGCAACAATGTCAAAGCCCACAGCAAAAATCAGTAACTTCAACATCGATCTCAAATCATTCACGTAATCAACACGTGCCTCATTTTAATTATAGATTTCTCCACCTCAAATAACGCACCATAAATCATTCACATAATCAACACGTACCCCATCTTAACTAAAGATTTCTCTACCTCAAATAACGCACCATGATAAAATTGAGAAACAGTCTATAACAACTATTGTGCTCAATCTGGCAAAAGGGGGATTATTTTGGGTAGACTCAATGGATAACGGGGATGGAATAGCAGTTATCCGGTCACGACACATACCCTATCTTTAGATATAAAGAACGACTTGAATTTGTTGTACGCTGTATGCCTACCTTTTTTCAAAGCATCACGAGTCATTTCAGTAGACGGAATTGTTAGCGCCGATGTTCCTTTTAGAAGGGCAGAATCGAAGTATAGTGTCCAATAAGTAGGTGTAACTATCGAGTTCTACAGTGGCAAACTCAACAGAGTCAGTTATAGTGATCCTGCTTCTACTGTGAGAAAATATGCTAGAAGTGCTTAATTAGATGAAACCCACTTGTCTTTGCTCTCAATCCCTCGTGTTCTTGATGATCTTCACTCTTCTTTCCTTGGCCAGAGCACGCACGGTCTCAACAAAGTAATCATTTGATAACCCTCTTATTCTTTCTCTTCTTCTTGTGTTTCTTATGTATTTCTTGAAACCCTTTAACTGGTTTTGATCCATTTTTCTTCTGTTTACACTTTACAGGTCTGAGTTATTTTTGTTTTGTGTTCAACTCAAACAAAATGGCCCATACAAGCCAACATAAATTCACCATCACACAAATTCCCATTAAGACCATTTATTACAACTAACACGAAATGCACATATGTACCATATATGCCAAATACTTGAGAAACTAAATACTAAAATGCGGCAGTTTACTTCATTTGGCTTGAAAGGAATGCCAGGGCATTTAGGAATCGAGCTGCATCACCACAACACATCATCTGCCTTATCAAGAGTTGTATCCGAGCAAAGCTTTCATCATTGAAGCTGAACCGAGGTGCTGAGCTCAGGCTCTTGGGTGAGCAAGAAGACTTGTTGCAGCTTTTCATGCAGGGCTGTGTTTTTGCAGGAAATCACACTTGGTGTGCAAATTCATTTGCTTAAGTACTGGAGTTACAAGCTAGGATTGAGGATATGCATTGTTTTGTGGTTGTGGAGCTTGATAGAAGCCTAGACTAATTGTGTGTTGTTGTTGGTTGTTATGTTTGCTGTTTTGCCTTGTGAGCTGATTGCTTGTTTGCTCCAAGTGCTCCCACCTGTACATTTTTTTTTTCTCTTTATAAAGCTTACCATTTAACAAAAAAAAAAAAAAAAAAAACTAAATACTAAAATCAATTTTATTTTCCAAACCTCCTCTTTAAACTTGATTTGGTAACTTGAAAAATGAACTTCTATTTGATCTTAGGGGTTTGATCAAAAGTTTGTTGGTCTTCAATTAATCCACCTCCTTCAATAGCCATGGCCGGTCTTCTTGGCCATTTCCAATTGATATTTAGGGCTTGTGAAAAATTTTCATGTGCCTATTCGTTGCCTTCACATGATCATATATCATCCTCTTTATGCAAATGCCATCCATCTTCTTTCTTCTTGAATTTCAATGTCTCTTCAACTTCACACGTGCTTCTTCTTTAGTGTCAAAAAACAACTCCATGTTCACCCATCCAAACCATTATTCAATAAATAATTTGAGAAATTCTTCAATCTCACAATGAATTTCAAAACTTTTCTGTCATTTAAATGTTTTTGAAACGTTTCAATTTTGGAGTGGTTGGAGTGACACCCTAAAGTTAATTTTGATCCTTCATAAGAGAGGAGAACGTATTGATCAAATTGAAATCCCATAATAATAATAAGAAGAAGAAGAAGAAGAAGAAGATACAGTTCTAGCAAGGGAATAATTTCATTGTTGGTATAAAATCAATTAATTAATTGGACTTTGATGTGTCTTTCTGTGGCATTCAGTTCAATTATACATCATTCCGAGAACAATTCACATTTTATGCAACAATATCTAGTTAGTTTTTTTTTTTTTTTTTTTAATTATTTATTTATTGTTTTCCTTATGCAATATTTAAAAGAAATAGACCTTTTTTAAAGTTATATTACAAAAGCTATACCTCTATCTCGCATCTATTGCAGAAATGGAAAGACCATTTACTGAATACTTTTGGGACTTGCATTTGTGCAAATTTTCCTCAACCACTTTGCCTCCAGTTAAGATGCTGGTTTCTTTGGCATTGGCAAATCCATATTGTCATTTGTTAACATGGAAACAACTTCTGGCATAGTTGGCCTATCGATTGCATGATCTTCTACACATAAGAGACTGACATGAATGCATTTTAGCAACTGTTCTTCAATACATGAACCCCGTAGTGTTAGATCCACAAGCTCTAGAGCAACATCCTTGTTCCACAATTCCCATGCCTATTATTGGACAATAATCATTTAAAATGTTGGAAACAAACACATTACTACTATTTAGCAGTGGGAGACAAAAAAAAAATTAATCAAGGCAACATTTCATATTACTTACAAATCCTGCCAAGTTAAGTGGACCTTCAATGGGATTGAATCTGTTGTTCTTTCATTCACTCACAATCTCAAGCATTAGTACTCCAAAACTGAAAGCCATGGCATACTCAGGAGCCATGTAACCACTACGAACAATATATATAATAGTGTTTAATTATGCATGAATCATAAGGTTTAGAAGAGTTGTATTTCACACCAGTCAAAACATATATAAATAAATTTATTTCGATACTTACTAATCCCAACAACTCTATTTGTATTAGCTTCTGATACACTCTATTTGTAAATTCTGGCCATACCAAAATCAGAAATTTTGGGATTCATGTTTTTTTTTTTTTTTTGGTTAATGGTAAGCTTGTATATAAGAAAGGAGAATGTACATGGGGCCCAAAAGAAGGGAAACAACATACAAACTGCACTCAAAGGCAGCCCAAAATCATAACAACAAGAGGAAATCTCAAAGTAAACAACTACAGCACTGATGCATCAATGCTAACCCAACATTGCACATTGCAGTGGAACAATTAAATCCTATGAAATTAACCAAGAATGGATACATGAAATGGAACAGGCCTGCACAAACATTTCAAGAAGATCATTCTCAGTTGTGATTAGCTTCAAATCAGCACTCTTCTTAAGTTTGATTGTTACAAGTCTTGATCTGATGCAAGTCTTGATTTGAGAAATAATATGGTGAGGTGGAGTAGAAACATTTCTGAAGGCTCTACCATTTCTCTCTATCCATATGAAATAGATAGTTGCTGACAGTAAATGGTTATGCGTTAAACTTTCTGGTGCAGTCCAATGAATTGAACACCACTGGACCAAGTCATTCCAACCACAAGGTACAATTGGGAAACCAGCAATCTCTTGTATGAACCTCCATATCTGTTTTTGGGATTCATGTTTTCATCAAGTAATATGTTACTAGCTTTCAAATCTCTATGTATTATCCTCAATCTTGAATACTTGTGAAGGTAAAGTATTCCTTGAGCGATTCCTTCAATAATGCTGAGGCGGCATTCCCATGTTAATTGTCCCTTCTTATTTGTATCTGTCTCAACATCAAGTGTAAAATATTGCTCTCTACGTGTTAAATGTTTTTGGGCAAAGATAAGAAATTTATTGAGTAATTGCATATGAAAACAATGTAGATATATAATGCGGTAGAGAAAGAAAAGCGATTTCTTACCAAAGAGAAAGGAGTCCAAACTTTTGTTAGGCATGTATACATATACCAACATTTTTTCATCTCCTTGGATGCAGCAGCCTAAAAGCCGCACCAGATTCATGTGTTGGAGTTGGGCAATGAATATAAGCTCATTTTTGAACTCCGCCAATCCTTGTCCTGAGCTTCTCGAGAGTCGTTTTACAGCTATTTCCTGTCCCTCGGGCAACTTTTCCTGGAATAAAAGCTCACTGCCTTATAACTAAATTTTAGATCTAGGCTAGCAAACAGGTCATTTCTGCAGCTCAGTTATAGCTAATGAACCGAAACCTAGAAATATGACTTAATGCTATAAAATTCAAAAACTTGAACCCCATAAAACCTAAAGTGTCATGTTTTCTCTATTTGTGTGTGTATAATTCCCAACCGAAATCCATTGATTGGGAATTGCAATCATTATTTACATAGCAACAATTTCTTTTCTAGAATGTACCTTGTAAACAGGTCCAAAACCACCCTCTCTGAGCTTACATTCTGTTGAGAAAGAACTTGTAGCATCCATGATACATGCAAAACTAAATACCTTAAGGTCGTGACCCTTGTTTGCATCATGTTCAAGTTCATCTATGTTCATATATCCATTTGGTGTCATAAGTTCATGTAGAACTTTCTCCTCATTCCCTATTTTGATGACATACAAAATTCACTTATCATTCCAAAAAAATAATGGAGATTAATGTTAAAAATTACAATGCAACCAATCTATTATTTGTTAGTGATGTACCTTGCAGTTTAATTTTTCTTCTTCTTAAAAAGCACAAGAGGCCGAAAAGAAGTATTAGTAACGCAACTACTACAGCAGTGACAATCCATATCCATTTCTTCCCTCCTGCATTCAGTTTCAATAATTCTAAAGTAAAATTTTCCAATAAAACAATGGGATTCTGGACCAGTGATAATGTTCAATTGCAAATATTTTGAACCAAATTAGAAGTGATTCAGTTTATTTTGAGACATAATCTTAACCAAGCTACACTAGTTAATATTAATCGAAATTGCGAATGGAGAAAACTATAAAGCCTATCCCAGGTAAAACCATAGAATCTAGCTAACAAAGTGTTGTACATGATGGATATTGAGTGATCATTTTGTGTGCACACTTGTGTATGGTGAGACAAAGACTAAGTAATAATAGCCTTTTATTCGACCAAGGGTTACCAAGCATTTAAAACAGTTTCATTTTGTTTCTTATGATATTTGAGTATGATTAGAAAAACTTACCCTTGTTGAGAGGCTCCGAAATAAGAACTTAGTGAGTAATTGTAAAGCCACTGCGATCGTGACGGAACTCCAAATTTCCTCTCCAAAATATGCATCCAGTCCCACTCCTAAGACTGTAACTCCTAAAACCAATACAATCACAATCATTCCAACATTTGTCTCTACAAGCACTGACACCAAGGCTCTGATTATAGTCAACAAATGACTTGGAGTATTTGTCATCACCAACAACACTGAAGTACCCAGATCTTGGATCGAACTACTGGTGGCGATTCCCGCACTTGGGCTGCTCCCATAGCTCACACCCAGCATTTACTTCTGATATTTCGGTGTTGTAACCACCACAAAGATCGACACGAGCAATCATAGTCCTATCTTGATCATGAATTTGCCCCATGTAATCTATAACCAATCCTGATACGACTCTTCGATGCTCAGGTGTAAGCATAGGATCTATTATAAGCGAGTAAGCAAAATACTCCTCTTCCTGATTTGTAACATTGATAAATTCATAATTGAGATCAATAGGATCAGATTTAGGGATAAATTCAAATGCCTTATCCTTCAGCACCCCACTAGTCCAATGAATCACTCCTCGCCGCCTAACAACCAATCGACGAACCCTAGGATCCCATTCAAGGCTGAAAACCCCTGAAGCTGGTTCATTTATAGTGAACCAAGATGTAAGAGACCATTTCTTGCCGGTCCTGTGGTTGACACCTAATTTCATCCCAGGTAGAAGCGTGTCGGTGGGATAGTCAAAGCTTTCCCACAATACCAGCTCCTTTGTTGATCCATGGGAATTTGCCTCTCTCAATACAAAATTTCCTGTATCCAACAAAGTTGCAGTGATGTTAATGAAGGTGCTGGCTTGACTCACATACAGCTCAATAGGGTCCCCTCCACTGTATGTAATAATCAGTTTTCCTGATCTGTCTATGGTGACAACACCAGAATTGTCATTTATAGGTGTGTTTCTGTTGGCAATCCATACTGGTTTATATGTGACATTGGTGTAACATATTCCCAAGTAACTATTGTTCGAGTCCGCAGGCTTAAAGAATCCCAAGGAGAATATTTTTCTGGAGGAAACTAGGAAAGTGGAGGAGTTGAGCATATCACCTTGATTTGAGTGTATCTGATGATGCATCAAGAAAGGCCAACAAGGATGAGAAAGTGAGAGAGAAAATTATGAAAATGGATGTTTTCTTTGATCTAGCCATGGTGAACTAGTGTACAAAAGTGAAGCTGGCTGAATGGGTTTTGAGATAATTTGATCTGAGTAATGGCATGCATATGTACGTAAACTCTGATAAATTAATCTGTTGACTTGATTAAAATTAATTAATGGGTCCATCATCTGATTTATTCCACCATGTAATTTGCATGGTGTTACTATGCAGATAGGTGCACTTCAACTAGCATTACGGCGCATTGAAAGTGGAATAGTCCACAATGTCTAAATGCATGAATCACTCCCACAATTAAGGATAGCAACGGGCGGTTCTGAGCGGGTTTATTCAACCCACCCCTTTTAAAATATCCTAACCCATCTTATCCTCACCCAAAACCTGCTAAACGGGTCATGCCACCCCGTCCCCGCCCGGGCCACCCCCATTTAGTTTATGGCAACTCACGGGCACCCGACCCACCCCTTTTAATCCCAAATATTATTTATTTATTTATTTTGTATTATTATTATTTTTTTGTTCTGATCTCTACCTTTGCACAGTACTAAGACTCTGTTTGTTTAAGCGTAAAATATTTTTCTGATAAAATGTTTTATATGTAACACTTTTTCCAGTAGAATGTATTTTTTATTTTTTGATGTTTGTCAAAGGTTTTGAAAATATTTTACAAAAAATATTTTTGAATTAAAATTAAAATTCTTACTATTATATTTCTAACTCAATTCGTTATTTTAAGACGCCTTTTCTCCTCAAATCTTATACCCCTTAATAGGAAGTTACAACCGGCAAAAAAATAAATGTATGATACAAATTTTCCTCACTTCAAACTTTTCAACCAATTGTTCTCTTATCTTCTGTGACACCATATATTATTTATTTATTTTTTTCGGAAGGTCACCATATATTCCTATTCCTAATCCTATTCCTATTCCTATTCCTATTCCTATCCATCGGTTCAGTTTGACTTTTCTGTCTTTGTCTTTGTTTTCATTCATATTATTGCCCCCACACCCCCGCCCCCACCCCACACAAAACTCTGGTTTTACAATTATGGCTCCTGATATACATTGAGTAATACATCAATATGAATTTATGACATTAACATAAATTTAAAATTTAGAATTTTCAATTATAACAAATATGAATTTACATTGAATATAACATAAGAATGAAATTCTCAACAATTATAATTGAGCAAGACATGGAGTTGTAGAATTTATAAAACACAAATAATATCAATAATATATTATTAATTATAATAAAAATTAAGGAAAACAATAATAATAAACTTCCTTTGTCCCATATTAGGGGTCCATCTTTTTATTTAGGGATATCTCATATTAAGGTAATAATCTTTTCTTCACCAATGAGTAAGAAATTTATTTGCACCATACATAGTGATTATTGTTAATACGAGGGCTTTGAAATTGAAGCAGACACCATGTTAATAAATGACAGTATGGCTTTGCCAATACCCAGAAACTGATATTTTTAACTAGAAGCAGAGTGATTGAGGAAGATTTGCACAAAAGCAAGTCGGAAAAGTATTCAGTAAATGGAGTGTTCATTTCCGCAATATATGCTAGATAGCTTTTGTAATATACCATTAAAAAAAGTCTTTTTTCTTTTATATATTGAAAAAAAAAAAATGGATATATAACTAACTAGATATAATTGCAGAAAATGTTGTTCTGGAACTGATATGATTGAAGATAGTGTTACAGAAAGAAACATTGGATTTTCTTGTTATATTTTTATGGGATCCCAATTTTATCAAATCTTTTCTCCTCTCCTAGGAAGGATTAAAATTTTACTTCAAAGTGTCATTCCAATCACTCCAAAATTTAAAACGTTTCAAAAATTTTTTATAAAGGCAACATTATATTCTTTTTATAAATAAATATTATTAATGGTAAAAAAGTTGCAACAAAAAAATTATATATATATATATATAATAGAAAGAAGCAACAACAAAAGCAGGGCGGCTCAATGTGACTTTTGAAGCTAGATGCTTGAGTCACACTATAAAGCCTATGGTAACTCCCACTTCATCTTCTCTTTTTCTTCTTTGTTGGTGGATTTGGGGTTATGTTCACCTTTGTACAGTTAGGTTTGTTTCGAGTCATTTCTCCCCAATCCTACTGTAATGGGCCAAAAGCGGACAACATATCTTACGAAATTCAGATGCCCAAGCTAGGATTTTTTGTTTTTAACTGACAAGGAGGGGGAGGGGATAGATGAGTCAAACCTGGACTCCGACACCACTAGGGAAGTGCCACCACAAACTGAGCTACCCAGCTCAACCCTACCCAAGCTTCGGATTGACAGAGAGTTCTAGGTCTAGAGCTCTTTAAAAGACCTATTTTCATTCAGCTCTCTTTTGGAAAGTATTTTAATTCAGCACTAATACTCATGTGAGTCCAATCCCACTTTTACTCATCATGAACTTCTAATATGAAATATTTTCTGAAATGGTTATTGGGCCATTTGGTGCCATAAGTTTGGGCCTGCAAAGCTATCAACTCTACTGGGAGTGAAGGGAAATGGAGCAGTCCATGATTCAAAACATGTGAATCTCTTTTGTGGATTAGAAAATCACCTAGATACACCATAACAGTTAAAACCAGAATGTGGAAGGAGAATCAAAGATATCTACAGCATTCAATCAAATTGGAGTGCATGTAACGAAACTGGAAGCACAAGAGCCTAGCCAAGAATACAAAACCTCCAGGTCGATCATATAAAAATGAAAAATAGAGAGAGCGCACTACAAGGCTCGAGAATATCCAGCAACCTAACAACGAGAGGAGGGTTAACGGTTGAGACTAAAAAGGACATTAATACATAGGGTGACACTGGTAGAGAACACAAACCAAAGGAACTCTCTCAATTAGGGTTTTTGTTACTGTACATCTCCAACAATAGGTTTAAATTTGCTCATGTATTTCAATCTCTGATAATGAGTTTAAACTGGTTTATGTAGTTAAGAATTAAAGAATTGTAAAGTAAGCCATGTAGAAAAAAACAAATATACCCTTCTATTAAGACAGTCCAAAATTATTACAGAAAACCAAAATAAACACACTGCATTTTCCAGTCACCTCAACAGATGGCCTTCGTTTGACAAGGTGTTTTGAGATAAAAGTAACGTTGTTCCAAAGTACAAAATGCCAAACTTTATTTTAAAGTGAGAGTCTTAAGGGATTTCAGAAACAGTTCCTCACTTTTTTCCATGTCTTCCTCTCCCTCCCGCCTTCCTCTTGCCCTTATCCTTTCCTTTCGGGTGGTCTTGTGGCATGCCATCAGCAGGAGGGGCTGAAACAGAACTATTTTCAGCAGCAGCCTTGCCTTTGGATCCTTCTGCTGGCATTTTTATGAAGTCTTTAAAAGTGAGTTTCCCCTCTACAATCCACAATTGAATGAACATCATAAGCAAGGGAACATAAAATACAATAGGGGCTAATCAATATCCACCCACAAACATCTTTCATTTGAACATTCAAATGCCACACTTGTGTCATGAGGTCCAACGCAAACGATACAAGAATTCGAAAGCAAAATATTGTGTGCTTTTTGAGTAAATTTTATTCTTTCACTCCTTCAAATCTTAAGACAAATTCAATTATAAGACCAGTAACTTCCACAGAATGGATCAGCTCCCAAAAATTACTTAGAAACATAAATACAAACATGTGAGTAGGGATTATTTCAAAATATCAAAATCAAGTCTAGAAAAATACAATGGCATGCAACCAATACAAGGCCTAGGCTCCAAGGTTCAATCTGACTACATTAGGGTAAAATCATTTGACATTCATCAAATAGAACCATGGAAGAAAGAAATAAAAAATATAAGTCAACCAAGCACAGAATTTGGTAATAAGAGTTTACTAATACCTCCGGCACTAGTCAAAAGGCATATTAGTCGCAATCATCATGTAAACTTACTCTCAAGAAATGTTTAATAAACTACATATTGACTGAGCAGTTTATTGTCGGTCGTACTGCACACAGGAACGAATCAACAATCATCCACGTACTATATTTTATGGTTATTAAAAAATATATATATATATTTGCATTAAAAAAATATCCATACAATGCATATACAAGAAACAAATCAAAAGGGTAAAAATTGACATTCTACGTGTTAGAAGTGGCTAAAATTAATTGGCTCAAATGATGTGTGCTTTGGTCATTGGTTTGTTAATGGTTTAGTGATCCAGAACGTCTGAGGTAATGAGCGAGTATTATAAATTGAATATGTACAAAATGATGTGTATTGCTTGGTCAATACATGACATTGAAATTTGTGTGCGCCTTAAATGTATTAGCTAGTGTTATCACTGCAGGTATAAAGAACATTAATGGTGTGGAAACTAAGGAAAAGTAAGAGTGAAGGAATGAAAGTGCATGCACTGTCACTGAGCTGTGTATGAGGTAGTGCCGAAATGTTTGGCCATTCAAAGGCAGTATTGAAGGATTGTGTTTGTTGTTGGCTAGAGGCAGATAAAGATTTGCCTGTAACTACAGGCATTGTAACCTGAGTGTCGTGTGGTGAAGAACTGAGTGTGAAGGGAAAGAGAGAAAAATAGAGAGGGTCAAGAGTGAGTGTATTCCTTCTAGGAAGAGAGTGTGTCTTCTTTTAGTGAGTGAGTGTGGAATACCTCTTGGTAATCCATTGAGTGTTGTAATCTTCTCTTTTCTTTATATAAAAGTTCATTGTTCTTCACCCATGTTTAAACCTTGTTCTTTGTTGAGTGTGTTTAAGTTGATCTTATTCCTAACAAGTACTATCAGAGTTAGATATGAAAGTGGTTAACTCATAACCAGTGGTATCAGAGCCATGGGGGCAACTTCAAATCTAAAGTTTGTGTTCGAGAAATTTGATAGAAGAAATAACTTTAATCTTTGGCAAGCTCGGATGTAAGACTCGTAAGTTCAGTAAGGTTTGGATAAAACGTTGGGAGAGAAATCAACGGGATGGACAACAAATAATGTGACAGGATCAACTCGATGTCAACAAGTACCATTCGGTTGACTTTGACCGATGATGTACGATGAGATTGGAAAGACTTGTGCAGTAG